ACTCAATAGTAAGTACTAAGTACCTACTAAGTATTAACTAAATATATAAAATTTAAAATTGAATTTATTTAAATAAAATTAAAGGTAATAAATTAAATTTATATTAAACACAATTTATTATTAATCGTTAAAAATTAGGTATAAAAACCTATTATTGATGTCGAAGATAATGGTGGCTTATTTGTTTTATTAGTAAAGAAAAGCCAAATCAACTTAAATCGGCACTAAAAGTTGTTGACTATACGAAAGTTTTCATTATTAAAAACATGAGCTGTTGTTGATATTAAAGTTTGCGTACAAACACGTCAGAACACAATTATCTCTTCAGCTATAAAATCTCAAGTAAACGCTAAGAACAGTAATTCCTTAGTTCATAAACACGCTTTAAACTTTAACAGACTACTGATTTGTTGAAGTAACAAATCCTTTTTAAAATATCATGTAATATGAAAGATTCAAAATGTGGAATTTTAGTATGTTTACAGTATAAAATTAATTTTATTCACATATAAATAAATATAATTAGTAGATTTCCAAGTTTTTTGGTATCTAAACTACACGTAAATATCATATATCTATGTGAATCATTGAAGCTATTATAATAATATCGACTAAAATTTGTTTTACATTATAATACTCAAAAAATTATTATTTTTTTTTAATATTTGAAATTCTGAGCATATAATACATAATATTTTCTTGAAATATTATTTCATCAAAATTGACTTATAGTTTTATAGTTTTGTTTTAGGTAATTTACACATTAGTAATAGGTTTATAATGGGTTTTATTTCATTAATGTTATCGCTTCTAAAAATAATTTGGCCTAGCACTTAAAATATTTAATATGAATTAAAATTTCAGTAAAAAATATTACGTACTATTTTTTATTGTTATCTTTAAATACAGAACAGTAATTTAAATAATACAATAATATTGTAAAAAATGAATTGTTAATTCAGAACACTATTTTAATTTTAGTGTATAACGTACAATATTTTTTTGAAATTAAAAAATATAGGTATATCTATTTATTAAATTTATGAATGTAAAAACGCATGGAAATTTAATAATATTTTTAACAAATTCGTAGCCCTAGTATTTATGTTGATAATAGGTATATAATTTTACGGCCATGACATAAATTTGGCGTGATAAAATCTTGTGAGAATAAAATTATTAAAATAAATTTTAATAAATGCCTACCTATTTTGTAAAAGTTTAGTATAATATGTATGAGAACTGAAAGCTATTATACTGAATTCCGAACCTAACACAAAAAATTACGGGTAATAACGGTTCAATGCGTTAAGCATGATCGCATTTTCAAACTTTGCAGTAGTAATACCCGTGCAGCCGTGTAGGATTTAATTAAATACCACAATTACTAAATACCGGTATTAGTGTATCTCATAACACGTTTACACGTGTATTTATATACCTTTGAAATACAAACCCCACCGAAATCCTATAGTGATATGGATCCCCTTTATAATATTAATTCAATGTGATTTTTGGGTAAAATAAAGAAATATCCAGGTAAAGTATAACTAGCAGCGTTATAGCTCGCGCGCTTTTAGACATTCACATATTTTAAGGAATTACATTTTTTTTACTAAATATAATATTAATACAAATGACATTCGTCACGTTTTTTTATGTATATAAATAAGTACATAAGAAAAGAGGTGCATGCAACCGACGAAGGACCACGATGATAACACGTCATTCGTTCAGCTGCACGCGGCACACGCACGTCATGCGAAGGGCTCAAAGCAAATTATTTACAGCTAAATGGACGTCGGTGGGTTTTTGAAAATACATAAGTGCATATGCCAGTGTGAGAGTGTCGGAGGTGTGGAGGGAGAGAAGCACGTCGTCAATTCAATACCGCGTGCGGGGTCCGCATATTAATATAATATAACACGGTGGCTATATTATGTACATAATATACGTTATATTCATAATATATTATTTGATATTATGTATACGTACACAGGCGTGTGCACCCGGTCTTTATATTCATCCGCGTGTTATTTACCACCGCGAACAACAAGAAAAATAAGATACATCGCGCAATCAAAATGGCCTGTGCCGCAAAGTACTTACACAGTGTAAAATATAACATATATACATACATCATAATACTACCTTATATGTGGCTTTACAATACTACCTAGTAGGTATATTCTATTATATATGTGGGTAGTAGGTACCCACCTTGCACATATTGATATATTGTATAAGACATAATATATATGTAAATATATTACCTATATACAATATATATTTTGTAAGGATTCTCTCCGCTCTTCATGGCTCTATAGTTGTTATAACAACTTTTCAAATATTTTTTCTTTTTTAAAATATTACCTACTACTATTGCGCTTCGACAGTTTAGAAGTATATATTTGTGTTTTGTACCTAACAATAAGTTTATCGTGTGACGTGTATATACAGCCGTACATGGTTTGTTAAGACGATGAAAATATTGCACAACTACAAAAATATTTACGGGTATTCACTAATGTGCATGCTATCAACCAAAAATCCCTGTATAATATATTGTTTAACTAGATATATAGTTATACCTACAACCTATCTGCGTTAGGCGAATGCCTCTGTAACTTAACGAAGTTAAGAGAATCTTACATGTATTAAACCTGATTCCACAGAATACTTTTTCAACTCGATAGTTGCTAGCGATACAATTGATGAATAATTACAATTTAAATATATTACTATTTTTACGTTTTAAAGGATCAAAATCGAAATAACAAACCAATGTATAAAAGAAATGTATGTTTTATAAAGATTTGTTTTTGTTTTTGTTTGATTGTTGATAGGTATGTGTAAGTATATTGCAAAGGATTTCATAATTTTAATTGTTTTTAATATTGTGGTATCAGTATTTTTTATTATGAATAAAATATAATATATATATATCAATTTATTATTTTCAAATTTAATTGTTTATACATATGTATGTAGTATTTACCTATAGTATATTATATTACATTTATCAAAGTTGTAGAAAAGTTTTAAATGTTTATTAAAATAATTTTTATAATGTTTGCAGGCATTTTTTGAAACGTATCTTAATGTGATAAAACGTAGTCATATAATCATTTATAAATATATATTATGTATAAAATAATAAAATAATATAATATGTATTTCGTACACGTGACTAGATATATTATTTTGAGCTTGTAATATTATCTCTATTATATTATATATAGATATTTATATATATATGCGTACAATTTCGGGGCGCCACTGCTGCCGTGGTGCGCGATGGCCGCTCGGCTGCTGGCATTCCGCCGTTTATTTGCAGCGTAAATATATATATATATATATATACGTATATTGTTTCGACGCTGAAACCGGAATTCCGCGCTACAGCAAAATTTAATATGGTTACCGTTTGGAGGAGCCCGAAAACCCTTTTTGCGGTAATGCTACCGCACACCCGTCCGTCGACAATCCCTTTATCTAAATATAATAACCCCTCTGCCCGTCCACAGTTCCGTTTTCGCTTTGATACAATATTTTCTTGTTTCACTGTGGAGCCAGTATAGGTTTTTACTTTTTTTTTTTTAATATATCCAAACCAACCGCGTGCGTATTCGTGTAAGCGCGCGTCAGTTGAGTAGAATCATATAAAAAAAATAAATAAATAAAAAATACCGACCGGGGAATTTTATGTATATAGAAAGGCATAGCGGCGTCGGTGCCCTCTTGTATAACCCCCAATATTATCATCGCGGTGACCCCGCCCACAGGATATGATGAAATGAAGATTTATAAATGCATTAGCAATAGGTACAAATAATATTTAGGTGTTGGTCCAATAGTTGTAGAAGATTTATCAATATATTTATATTTTTATACATACAAGGTGTTTTAATAATATATATAATGATTATGTGGACTTGTTAATGCGGTGTAAATAGGTAATTAATAAACATTACGATCGCAAGTAGGTAGGTACATATGATGTTTATTATGTATCGCCATATAAGCAGAATAAATGAACGTTATTGAATTGTTTTTGTAGTAAAATATGTTTGAAAAATATCGTATAATAACTATTATTTTGTTTCTTTTGCAATTAATTATTTTTATTAAATAATCATTATTTGAAAACTTTTTAAGTCTTCATTCTTGGTTTTTGAATAGAATTGCAGACGAAGAAATAAATTACAAATTATTTTGTTTAATAATTAATTTTAAAAGTAAATGGCACATTATGTCTGCTTTTTAAAATCATTTGTTTAATAAATTATGTTTAAAATCAAGGTTTATAAGCAATTACTCGTATATTTCAGATAAAGGAATAATTTCTATAACGTACACGGCAGTAATACTTTCCTTTAACTTTAATTCATGGATGAAACATTAAAGTTTAAAGCGAATTATTCGATAAATAAGGGATAAAAATAATAAATAACATACGTCATCAATAGGTTTCAAAATTTTCAAAATTAATTTTATAGAAACGTTTTTAAAGTTTTAACAACGTATTGTCGTATTTACAATATACAATTTAAGTGTAATAGATTCGTTAATAGTCGATGCCATATCATACTTAATGTTGGGTTACACAAAATATTATCATTATTTATTTCATATAGGATTAAAACATCACTATATTATTTATTAGCATCAAGCCATCAAATAAAATATAGTGTTAAAGTTTTATTATAATATCTTGGCGTATCAGTATGCCTATATATATGTTAATATGGTAGTTGTATTCTCGGACTGTACTGATAACCATTATACATTTATTATTATTTACGCGATGTTATGTTATATATTTTGTATGTAAGATACATTTATAAACACAATATTTATATGAAAATCCTATTGTCGGCCTGTCTAGCGCGTAAAAAACTTTACGAGTAAAAGCACTCGTGAAATAAAACTAATTAAAGCCCAACAGATCAATGCAGTTATGTATAATATAAGCATCATAAATATTGTTGATGTCTTACCTTTTTTGTCGAGTATGTCGGGCAAGACGGTACAATTGGCGGCGTTAGGACTCAGCCGACCGGTTGGTTGTAGAGGACCGAACGGGTTATCTCCAGATGCTGGTGGGTACCTGTATGTAAATAATTATATTAAATGACAAAACAAATAACGACAGTGACCGTCAGTATAAGGTACATTATCATTATTGTTGATGACGCGTGTGCGATCGACCACGCGATCACCTATGTGTATACTGTGTATATATATATATTTATTTATAAATTAAACATACCATAGTATTATATCACATACGCGTGCATACAATATTATGTTATACATAAATAGGTATTGAATTATTATTATTATATTACTCACCAAGGATTGGGTCTGGGCCATGAGCCGGCCGCCGCCGCTTGACCGTTCAACAGTCTCAGCTTGTCGTACACGGCGTCCGTGCTGCTACATGTCGGCGACACGGACGCCGGTGTTTGCTGGTCCTTTTGCGCCGCCAAATTACGTAACACGCGGTTGATCGAAGACACCTGTGTACCAGTAAATCAATCGTTAATTATTTTATTAATATAAATTAATTTGACTATTTAAATATAATAATAATTTACTATGTAAGAGTAATATGTGTATAAACGGAATCATTCTGCAGATGTCGCAAAAACAGCTGGGGAACGCGTTTTAACTTTAAAATTTGTTTCTTTTTAAGGAATGTACACAAAATTTTTAACACGAAATTTAGATCACTCTGTATTTATTTTTTGTTTGCAATGATTTCACGAGCTTCATGAAAAAAAAAACGATCACGGATTTCATGGGGTTAGGGTCTATATCCAATACGATTTTATCGTAAAAATCCTTAAAATTTAGATATTCATCATACTATGCTAACAGTTTATGTAAATACGTGTGACGTATAGCAGTTCTAATATTATATGTGTAGCTTATTTAAAGTGTGTGATGTAATATTAGATATTATTGTAATAGTTTTAATAATTTCGAAATCAGCAATATTTCATTTATTAATTAAGCTATTGCCGAGAGTATATGACTAGTGATCGAGTATTAGGAACATTAAAATCGAATTAATTTCCAACAAATAAAGTAACGTAAAGTTTAAGACATGACTGTGTATAGTAGTTATCAGGTATGTAATATACGTTTTCGTGTGTATTAGCTATGTCGTGTATACGAGAGATATGTGTTGATGAATTATTAATATTTTTTTTTTCTGGCAATTTAGTGTTACGCGACATACACGTCAGATATACTCTGTAAAATGTGCGATATTCAAACAGCGGTGTCTGTAGTGTGGCCATCTATAGCTGTAACAGACGAGTGGGTGAGCGATAATGATTTCGAAAATTGTCAAAAAATAATTTCCAATCAATTTAATGCGCTCAGACTGGCGTCGCCATTGTCTTGCGCGCGCGCGCATTCGAGACCGAGAGACAGACTGTCGTTCTCATTCCATGTACATAATATATAAATATAATTTACTATATTCGGCCATAAATCCTATTTTTTATTCCTATTCTTATATATGTATACTCGGTTTTTTCTCCGCGTGGCGGCGGCGGAGGTCCTTTGTGCCGGCCGTGGCGAAGTATATAACCACGAATTTCCGACCGGAATACATTTCCGTAGCCGTCGATTGTATTGTCGTCGTGGTTATATTTTTTTCTTCATTTCTACACAGACAATTTATACGGCGCAGCGTCTGTACAAAAATGGCAGGGCGAGTACACACACACACACACACACATATTATATATATATATATATTATAAATCGGTAACGTCGAGTCACATTGTTATATATATATATATCGACACGATACATATAATTTGTGTGCGAGTGTGTTTGAGTATGTGTGGAGAAACGCACGGGTATCACGGCGACGGCTTCGAGCCGAAGGGTTTCACGCGAGTCTTGATGTGTCGCGCGGCCGACGAATCCATAATGCATGAGTTTTGTTTGTCGGTTTTCTCTCATTCTCTTTTTCTCTATCTCTCTGACTCGCACGTACAACACTCCGTGTATATATATATATATAAACACTCGCTGTCCCGAAGGGTGTCGCCTAATGTCGCCGTTGACGCCGGAAAAACTTTGGGGTTTTTCACACTTTGATTACGCATTCCCTCCTGTTTTTATAACTGCGCAAACACACATATATATACGATATACATACTGTATATAATATATACACCGTACACGGCGCGTTACCTTCGGTTTCTGATTTTCTCTTTTTACTCTATCTCCCTCATCGTGGTATGTGAAATAGATTTTACTTTTTCTGCGTGTTATACTAAACACTACACCTAAACGCCACGTGGATTCAGATAATATAAATGTATAGACACATATAAAATAAACACATTGGTATGCCTATAAACAATCATCTGAGTTTCTCTTAATATATATATAATAATAATAATAATGCTTATATATCACGACCACACATTCTTGAATTTTTATATAATTACGTATAATATTTTCACACGTCTATCGCGTAAACTTTGAAACGTAATTTATTATTAAACATAGAAAACGCTATTTTTTATAATACTTTATAAAAATGTGATTTGTTTCAAATAATATACGAGTATAGGATAATATTTATAAAGCATTATATTACATAAGTTATCGATTTTAGTGTTTGATTTTGTTATTTTTTTAGTTTTTTGGTAAAGGCTAAAATCTTCGTAGAAGTAAACTTACTACCTATATGATATGTACTCCGATACTCGTATCTTTATAAATATTTATAATTATGTTCAAATATAAGCAGTAGTGCACGTTTTTAAAAGTTTTTATACATTTCGAAGTTAATATTTAATTTTGTATCCTTTATTTAATGTAAATTTATATATTTAGACGATGGATTAGCTCTAATCTCGTTATTCTACATAATATAGATATGGAAAATACATATTTTTATATAATTGACAATTCATATTGTATTCGTATTGGTAACAAATTCTGTAATTAGCTAACTACAGACACAAGGGTAATTTTAGTATAATATGTATTAAAATTTAAAACAATAAAATACGTAATGATTATGAAAGAAATATTTTTTTAGGAATATATTAGAATATACCTGTTTTAATAAACGAAGTATAATAAATTATAAACAAGGTTGAAATTGTCCTTCGATACATTATTTTAAACCATATAGACATAATTTATTGGTACGTGTAAATATGTTAAAAATTCAATCAAAGAAATTAGTGAATATTAATTTGAGTTTTAGTGTCGACACTTTATAGAAAATACGTTTCAAATATCTAAAATTCTAAACGGAAAGTGTTTGTATGCAGGTGTATAGTTACTAGATCACGTCTTGCAATAACCCTTCATATTAATCATACCAATATCTTTACAATGAAGCTTAACATTTTTACTTACACAATTAATATAATAATAAAAATATTTACACAATAAAAGACTGTGTTTAATTATTATTAATGATTAAGTTGGTTTATTGGCGTATGATGATAACTTAAATTAGAAAAATACAATTATTGTTTATTGTTTTTTTCATTAAAAATGTACGTAGATTTGGGTGTACGTTTGGATCATCGCAGAAGTAATTCGGAGAAATCAAACAGACGAAATGTCTCCGTCATTGTCGCGATATATATATATATATATATATAAACTGTAGGGATTGTTATTTATCTGATTGGATTTGAATTCACGATACGGGAAAAAATGTACGCTGCATAATACTTTCTCAGTAGGGAAATTAAAACACAGAAACGACTACAAAAAAAAAAAAAAAAAAAAAACAGAAAAAGAAAAAGAAAAGAGAATTTTTTCCTATTTTTATTTTTGTACAGGAGGAAAAAAAACAATAGTCCCTCTATTGAAAAAGGGACATTATCTTTCTCCATCATCAGTGACATAATAGTCGAACAATGGACACGCCGTGGAACAAATGACTCCCGGAGTTCACCGGTATAAAAGACATTTGTAATTGCTCTCTGCAGTACGCATCTATATGTATGTATTTATACATTATTTTGAAACGGGGATAATATTTATTATTTTTCATTTTTTTGTTCCTTTAGACATTATATTATTATATATTTATTATGTTCCGCGTTTGGTGGACCGATCGTAGACGTGTGTTTGTGTATGCTGCTGCTGCTGCTACAGCAGTATTTACACACTTATTATACATGTATACATACGCGTGTGAGAAATCGGACGCACTGCATTGACGCTTCCAGGAAGTAGAAATGTCAAAATATTTTCGAATTCCCACAAATTGGGGGAAACGGACAATTAAAATTGCTTTACATCACAATAATATACGTGTAATGGGGGGTAAACCATGTACGGTCGCTTATGAGACGGATTTGCCGACACCGCTCTGTGTATAGTTCGGGCGATTGACGGTTCTTTGACGAGCGGAGATTTGTATGAAGTATACCGCGGTTATATGTGCGAAACCGAACGATAATTTCTTTAATCTGTTCTGGTTTTTAGAATACAATATGTGTACGTGCAACGTACGCGGTGTGAAAATATATTATTATTGTTTTCGGTCAATTTCCGCTTCAAACACTATCGAAACGTCCGTAAATTAAATGAATTCAATATACACATTATACCTATTAAACATCCCCATATATATTTGAGAAACTTTAGGTGTGTTCTATAGTTAGGTACGCGTTTATAAAAACGATAATAATTGTCAACGATCGAAGAGAAAATGTATGTGATATGTTTTTTTAAATACAATAATTATTATTATTCATTCAGATAAGTCGTTTATGCTACTGTACGATAATACCTATATTATAATAATTATAATTATAATTTATATTTTTTTGTCGTCGTACGACTGCTGCTGTTACTTATTAAACGTGCCCCAGGGACGCGACGAGGTGAGTGCGGTATACAGAGGCAAAGACTGTGACGTTAAGGCGGGCTGACTGTTTGTATGGGGAGCTGCCGAGGCGTGGAAAATATGCGTTACCGCCCGTCCTGCGTGCCGCTGTACAATACACACTTATCCTCACGACGATGGGAAAGCTGTGACGAGGCGGCGGTGTCTTGCCTGCTGCTGCTCGTCTCTCCGTGTTTATAGTATTATTTTATTATATTTTCGTCGATGTTGCCGTTGCACGTTTGACCGTCGGTTTTATGTAGGCTTAATATTATAATTTATATTAAACAATATATACGGTTGGTTGTTTTAGAATCCGCAAAATGAATAGTTTAATAAATATTTTCTTTAAGAAAATGAATGTATCGCATAAATATTAAATATTTAAGTACCTACTATAAATTAAAATCATCGAATTATCAGAGTCGGCTGTACCTGTATACAATATAATTGTATATGTGATGATGTATTCATGTACAACGAAAATGAATTAATTAGACATATTAATTATAAAAGAAGAAAAAACAGTTCATATGAAGGAATTCTGGAAATCGATTTACATAATATTATATTAGTTATATTAAATTAAGATAAAACAACATTCGTTTTTAGGTGGTGAGGTGGATTACCATGAAAGTAATTAGAAGTTATGTTTGTATTCAAAGGATTTTGATAATTTTGTAGACGATTTTAAATATTTTATATTTTTATGATATATTTTAAGTAAAGAAATATTTTAGGAAGTATTTCATTTCAGACACACACACACATATATATATATATATATACACATAGAGTCATGGAGAAACTAAAAGTAATAAGCATGGTAGGTAATATTAATTATAATATATACTATAATAGTATAAATTATAAATTATGTAATAATAACAACTTATTTAGGCTAATATAACTGTTAACAATTTTTCTTTCTGGTAGTTGTTATAATACTATGTAATTATTTAAATGATTTTGAAGTTTGAATATATCAATTATCATAATATTATATGTTAGGAAGTTAATCAAACATTCAAACAAGAGACAATTTTCATAGGAACATTAAATAAATACATTCTTAAATTATTTTTTTACATTTCAGTATTAAATTGCGTTACGGAGAAATTATACGTGGAAATATTATGCTGGTAATTTTACCATTTTTTTTAACGTTTAAATGTTAAAAGTATAAACGCTTTGGATCGCAGATAATTCGTGTTATTCGTAAAATGGCACTTCCTACATAAATTAATGCAATAATGCTATACATGAGACTGTATATCTGTTTTGTTATAACAAGATGCAATTGTAATTATATATATATATATATTTTATACACATACTATGAATTTTATTGTATACATAAGTACTAACAATTTAGTTATATATACTCGTAGAGTTTATTACCTGTTACTAAAAGCATATATTTCGCTTGCAAAAATTTATCAGTACCTACCTATATGATTTAAAGTTTTAAGTGTTATAGTATAAAATATTAACTTAATAAATGTCTGTAAGTTTTTATTTTGTTATGTAATAACTTAATGTTAATGGGATTTTAGCTAGTATAATCGATTAAAATTATATACCTATAATTACTAAATTATCTACTTAGTTGTCATTCGTGTAATATTGCAGTAAAATAAACGTGTTTTTTTTTTGATAAAATTAAAATTTAAAATTAGAGAACTCGAGAAAAAATACGTCATTCATACGAAAATTGTTGATCTTGTATATATATATATTTTATATATTATACATATAGGTACGTATATTCATGTAATATATACATATTATTCCATGATATAACAAGTACATGTTTTGAAATTAAATACGATAAATTAAAATAAAATAAAGTATAATTTATTTTTTTCTTTGATCGTTAGAGTTTGGATAATTTTTTAAATCGTTTGTGCGAATAATTGTTATTTAAATGTAAAAATAAAATAAATTGCGTCTTTGTAGTGATGCAAATATAATATAATATACAGATGGGCGGGGGCGGAAAATAATTTTTCAAAGTCGCTGTAGATATTACGTAGTATACTCGATTTGTATTCTTTTGTTTGTTTTTTCTTTCATAAATAGGTTCGGCGTACGTGTATAAAACACACGATCGGCGGCGACGCGCGTTGTTGACATTGATTGGGAGAGGCGTGATCCGGTGATGCGTAAGAAATCTGATTTGTGTCTCCCTTTCCTCGGTCACCACCGCCGAGGCCGCGGTCACACCCGCGCACACGTCAAACTCGAAAAATTATATGTGCATATTTATATATGGTTTAATAGGATTTAAAATCGACATAACATTATTAGGTACTCTGTATTTGTTCTGACCGCGCAACAAACGTATTTATTTCGTCTACAAATTTAAAATTATGATATTGATGAAGCACGTCCGTGTTGCTACAGCTGCGGAAACTGTCTGATCGAGAGGGTTGTTTTTTAAGTATCTGGTATACATATAATTTATTTACCTATACAATATTATTAGCGCGTATGTATAGTATTTACGTGTTATTTTCATACCAACAGGGGCTATATTGCGGGTTCAAATTATTATTTCGACATATAATTTTTAGATTAGATACTTACGCTTGGTATGTTATCGTTGGAACATACGCCTTCTTGTAACAGTCTATCGCGAATTTCCCAAGCGAATATAGATGGACATTCACGTTTGTATTGTGATATCTTGGACACAACTTCAGCTGTTGCTACCCTGGGCTTTGAGCCGCCAATCGCTCTAGGCCTGATAGAACCGGTTTCGTAATACCTATGATGAAAATATAATTAATGATTTTAATATCATACAACAAAAGATAATATTATGTTATATTCAATCGTTTAAATATCACATTTTATCAATTGCTGTCTAGTATGAATGTTTTTCTAACAGTCAATATAATATTTGTTTCGTAAACATAGGTACTCATTATTATTGTAATAATATTATTTTAAATCAATATTAAATTGGTTTTAAATATAGGCCATATTATTCGGTTAAATAGTTCATAAAAAAGGGCTTTTTTTATTAATTTCATCTGTGATGTTTAGGATCTATATTCTAAGTGACATGTTTGTTTCTGTCTTTTTGTATTTTTAAGCGTACCTAAATTGTTTTATAGTACAACATGGGTAATACTATATAAGTAATATGGATTCAATTTGATAATACTTGCCTTCCTAAGATTTTTGACACACATCCATTGGATACCTGTAGGATCCTTGATATGTCACAGGGCCTGGCTCCGGAATGAGCTAATTCAACTATCTTCTGCCGAGTTGAGTCCGGTAACGGTCTTCCACCAACGAACACTCCGCCAAGCTGATTAACACCACTGTGTCCTACAAGAAATAAAAACAAAACCGTATAAATAGGACATAAAATAATAGTCGTACGCTCAGCTCTACCAGAGGTAAATAGTTGGCAACACTGTAACGTTTACTTAAAAATATAATATATAATATTAACCAGGATAAAAAATATAACAGAAATGACATTTAAATTATATGTATATACAATATATATATTATAAGTTTGAATAAAAAATAATTGTTGCATCAATTTGGGAGCTTTTTCTACAATTAAGCTCAACTAATCAAACGTCACTTCTGTACAATTTTTATTCCGTGTTCATCATACAATAAGTGTATTATATGTATATATATATTATTGTATTATATTGAGTGTGTTAATTATTAATTTTCGTACCCAAGTCTAATTCACGCGTTGCAATAATCCTACCATCGTAATCAGCAGTGTTACCAACTGAAATCAAAGAAAATCATATGGTATAAGAGTTATGTGTGGTGTGTATTATACATCATATATTAGTACGAAGTTGAGGATATACACAAGGGAGTGTGCAATTTTGATCAGAGCCGGGACATGGCAACATGTTATAAAAATTATGATGCAAGTACCATTATTGAACAGTCGTAGTATATTAATAATAATAAATAATAAGCAATAACTAATAAATGGTTTATTATCAACGTATAATTTACATTCACGCGCAAGTAATTAAATTTTACAATAATTGATTATTAAAGATATTTTAAATCGTATTACTGATTAGCCTACTACAGATTAGTTAAAAATTATGATTGATTTGCGTCGATTAGATGTGTTTTACTGGAATCGTATAGAATGATGTATTGGTAATAGGTATTAGAATCAACAAGTAGGCGCTTACATAGACATAATATTCAATACTGTAACTGGAAAAGATTATTTTATGTCTTTCGGATATTACAATAACTATATTGGTTAATAGGTATCTACTTACAGTTCTAGACTATAATATTTATACCAATATAAGATACAGAAATTGCTCATAAAACTCAAATACCTAAGTATGTTCGCAACGTACCTATGTAATATATTATATAGAAGTAGGAATAGGTAATTATTCACTATAAAAGTATTTCATATCGCTTCTTACGTAACCATTTCAACTGGCTATATTATGCATCAATAAATATATTATATAGGTGCATACATTATAATATGCTGTTGCGCACGTGGTAGATATGATGTTTACGCGGCGATTAAACAGCACCAACGGCACTGCCGTCCCCGGAAACATCGTGTAATCGGTCCCCGCGGACGAGAGGGTCAAACAGATCATTACACTGCGGTTTACACGTTGTACGCGGTCCGCCCGCCCCCGGGAAAATGCTTGACCGTTCGTGGCGACGTCCCTCGCAGCGGCCGACCGAGTGGCTTTTATATATTTTTTTGCGCCGCGGTGGTGTCCGGACGTCCGGTCATCCAACCCTCCGCGGTTCTGACAGCCGCCCTCTGCGGTACACGTCGTTTATTAATATAATAATATAACGTTCATGACAAAAACAAACAATAAAAAAAGAACAACAAAATAATAATAATAATAATAATCATAAAACACGATACGCGACGCACATCCATTACGTTGACGTTGATTACACGGCGATGTATGTTTATATAGTAATAATTTTATATACATCACGGACATGATATATAATACATATAGTATAATATAGCTGAATATTATCTACCTACATATGGCAAAAGAGAAATGCGTTGACATCAGAATTTAAATATGTACAGTACAGCAAGTATAGGTATTATAAACATATAAATAATCGAATCGCACACAACTCAGTATGTTATGCAGGATACAGGTACTCACAGGGATTATATTTTATTTTTAATCAAAAATAACGTTCATTGGTTTTCCTCTAGTCACTCGTGGTCAAATTTTATAATAATGTTAGTGTACTTATATTTTTCGGGGACTTATTCTAACCTAACCATCTGTATAGTAGATATATGTCTACACTCTACGAAAAGTAATGCGAATCTGTACTTTGATATACATATATAATTTCTACATTTTTTTCTAGTTTTATACTCGCACATAGCTTTACTGACTTTGAAGTAAAATTTAAACACAACTACAGCATATATTTATTGGTACTAAATATATGTCTATAGTCCACAAAAAGTAGATATAAATTTAAAACTGCATTGTGCTCTTTTAATATACACACTATGCACGTGTACATATTTTAGGAAGTATTTGAAGATGACTGAATATATTTTGTAGATAGTTTATAATAGTATTGATGAAAAACAATTAACTTTTAAATTTTGATTTTATCAGTACACAGAATATGTACATTTTGTCCATTATTTAAATTATTGTTTTATGTTATTTAATATATTTATAAACTTAAAGAAAAAGTAATCTATTCATTTTAAAAATATTATCATTAAGCACATACGAGTATATTATATTAAGCTAAATTAAAAAGTAATTAAAAAGTAAATTGCAATAATATTTTGTTCGAATAATGTTACAATATTATTACTGTACTTATTATATTATATAGATTATAGATGCGTTTATACTGCTTAAGAAATATAAGCTTCATCTAAACACAGGTAATAATAGGTATCGTATATATTATATACTATATATACATAATAATTTCGATGACGGCGGTACGATGTTTGACCGTATATAATATCATACATTATAATATCGTGTCGACGGAACTCAGAATATTCACTTCAAACAACTCGACCGCATTTGTATAACTGCCTTTCATGTTTGACCGAACAACACGACGCGTGGTGAATTGTCGTCACTTAAGGGGTGGATGAGATGATGATGATGAGGAGGAGTAGAATATAAACCTATATAGGTAATATAATGTATTTGTACCTAATATAATATAACGACGTTTAACAGTTTTGGGATTGTAACGCTATTATAAAGAAAGCGGCGGCAGTCGCATTGATATGATCTTATTATTATAACGAATGTAGGCAATGGGGATTTTAACGAACAGGTGCGACAGTTTTGTCACATCGCAAACTCTACCACAGAACACCCCCGCACATTTGCCATTCATTATTATATATAATATAATAATACAACGATTCCAAATGTGCGGTATCGGTCAATCCTTTCGCTGTACTTAGTACTATCTATTCACAATCGTTTTGTACAACCTTGCAGCTGGTGTCGAGTGTCCACGGCATCAATGCGATAAACAAATGGGTACATAATAATATTATCCGTATAAGTATAATATACAATATTCCACATTTATTATATAATATATTGGTCGATTGTTATTGCGATTTCCACAAATACAATATCAATTCCACTCTACGGAGGCAGGAACGACAGGTAAAAATGTACCTATACCAAATACGCACAAGGATATGTCTTCTGCTATCCATACAGATCGTTATATATATAAATATATACTAGAAAATAGCGCACACATGCAAGATTTATTTTCAGATAAGGTTGTGTTAATACTTAATAGTAGATGTTTTTACTAAAATTATATTTTACTGATACTAGATGAGGATATTGAAGAATTTTTTAGAAATATATTTTTATGAAAAAAGACATTTATTTTCTGGAGGTGGGGAAAGAGTTATGAATATCCCACGTACCCATTGGTACTAGCTTAATTATTGGCACTCACGGGTTAAGTCTTCGCGTGATCGGTTATTAACTTCTCTTTAGCTTAATATGATGTTATGATTAATTTTGATAATCACCTATACTATTTTATAATACCCATGTTTATAATAATACCGATGTACAAGCACTATGCATAATCAATAACTAAATTAAAATACAAATTAAACCACAAATTATTTATCTTCTATACAGACTCTTGAGTTAAAATGTGGGCATAATATAGTATTCGGTATATAACTTATTGGCTATACAGGTTCATCGACAACTATCATTACTATAATTTATAGTATACGTATACATTTTTTGATCAAGAATATGTTACATGTATGAATAGGTTAAATTAGGTTAGGTTACTTATGTAAAATTAGTTATTAAATTTCTTCGTATATATTTTTTTTTAAATTATCATTATTCATTAAATATGTTATGTGAGATCTTATAACAGCGACATATAGTTTACTACAACTCGATATTAAATTACATTATTCTTGTTTTTAATAAATAAGCTAAACATTTTGCTTTTGCATCAAAAATCATTCCAGTAAAATGAAAGACTTAAGAATTTTTGATACAAGTAAAATATAGTTTTGAAAAATTTTTTGGTTAGGTAAGTAACAATTTACAAATAATTAATAATTAGGAATTAGGTATAATTTTGTATATAGTAAGTTTTATTCCATATTTCTAACAATGGTATCGTTTAATTAATGTATGCAGTGAATTTGAGATTATAATTTAGTGTCTCGCTATTAATCATTACTAATTCATACATATATGTAAATATATTTTGTAATTTTGTATATATTTATTTTACCTATTATTTTTTTATTGATGTAGTTTATAGTAAAAAAAGTATATTATTAGTTATCATTGGAAGACTACTGTAATAGAAGTTAAGTTAGTGTTCGTATAATTGTTTGACTACTGTAATAATTATTGTTCTAAACTATAATTATTATTGTGCATTTAACTGTACCTAACTGTTGTAAGTAAAATAGTAAATTTATATTGTAGATAATTGATGTATCGCTAATAGTTTTTATTGTTTGATGTGATAACTACAGATGGGTTCGTTATTTAATTAATAACTATTTTTGTTTTATTAAAATTGATTTTACAATATTATCTATACCGATTATAGCTTTTTTTTTATATCCTCTCTAGATTTTCTGACAATACTTTTAAACAAAACTGTCTAAACTCATAAAGTGGTTTAAAGAAATCTTATTCGCACATCGATTAATTTATATATGACAATATATGAACTTACACTATAAATTTAGAGGAATATCGTATATGTACATGCATATTTAGGTATGTATATAGAGTTAATGGGTTAAACATGATCGATGGAAAGGAATTAAGGTATATCGTTTTGTAATATAGGTATATAATGTGTAGTATAGTTTTGTCATGAAATTAATATCAATAACAATTAACAGTCAACAGAAAATAATGAACAATGAAAATTTGTTATTAATTATAATAGAAGTGGCTTATATATTACAGACTATGCCGTTGTTGTGAAATGAACCACTGGTTCAAATCAATCGATTAACGTACTCTTGAATGGACATCGCATGAGCCAAGGGTACCTGTCAAAACATTGTCTGAACAATAATTACACGAGATGTTATGTAAAATGGCGGCTTACACGGTTCTTATATATAAAAAAAAAAAGACTGGACTACTACAAAACCTGACGGGATTATATGTGGATTACAAATTTGTTAACACAATCCAGCGGTACACAAAAAACATCTATTCACTGGCCCATTTT